TGACATAAGCCCTAGCTACATGAAGGCTATGATTCTCCGGTATCTAAACTCATTATTAAGTTTTAATGAAAAGTATTTATCATGTATGGACAATCCAATTTGGAAAAAATATCGTACGATAGTACTTAATACTATGTATGCTCTAACATATTGTCAAGTTATTTTCAACATTTTGTTGTTATTTGACAATTTGTGAGCCCCTATATAGAGTGTGAGTTCCTATAATTACTAAAAAAATTGACCTTTTTTCTTGATGAAGAATTAAAAAGTCAGTTTTAATTTGTTGTTACTACAATATAATCTTGATTAAATAATATTTTTGATCAATGTCGACTTGGTAAGAAAGGTATTAATTTATCTTGATTAAATAATAGTTCGAGTAATTAATTAATTTTCACGGTTCCTATAAATATTAATTTATAGAGGTTTAACTGTAGTTGGTGATAAGTTACATTGAATATTAAAATAATTGATTAGCGTTGATTGATGTCAAGATATCCTGAATAATTGCACATAAATTAAATCAAACACATTTCCAAACTCAATTAATTGTTCAACTATTTAAAAGCTCGCTCTAAGTTTTGTAAGAAAACAAAAAACAAAACAAAAAAAAACCTAACGGCTTGAGATTGCGCTGCTACTAAATATCATGATCTTTCTAATATTAACCTATAATATAAGCTTTCACATATTAATTTATATATGGCAAAGATTTGAACATCTAAATTGTGCTGAAAAAATTAAGGATTGATGAACAAATAAATAAAACTGAACGTCTGAATTTCTAGTCGATTAATTCACTTGGTGCAAATTAATACCTATAAGCTTTCGCTTAATTTGAATTTAATCGCCCATTAATTGAGCAAGAAAAAACACACACACACACACACACACACACACATATATATATATATATATATATATGCCTGTTTTCTGTCCACACGTACCTTGAATTAACAACATGATCCCTCCTGATCATTTTGTGCCAAACCAAACAAAAAAAAGGAAATAATAATAAATAAATAAAACAATCCAAACATTATATACATTCTTCCAATAAAGAAAGCAATATCAATACACAATATATGTTACATATATACCAATACGCATACACACACAATATATATAGACACATACATATATATATATATATATATATATGTATATATGAAGTGGGACTAATTTTGTGTGTTATGGGGGCTCACAAGTAGAATTGGCGGTTGTGGTTCCAAACTGATATTAACAAACAGGTCGATTGGTGTAGTTCAAAGAAGATGGTAAGTAAGCTGTCTGCTTCAATAGCATACACACAAGGGGCAACGGCATGTGGTCTCAGAAAAGGCAGCATTTGCTTATTTCTGGTCCACCTTTGGTCCACTCTACCGTCACCCACAGGACCATCCTACCTCATCAGATCAATGTTTCCACTTCAATTCTTCATCAACATATTATATATATATATATATATATACATATATACGAGTTTTCAATTGTTATGTTTTCACGTTAATTATTCATTAAATATAAAAATTTAAAGATACGATGCGATAAGAATTTAATCTCATTAATTGTCATTTATTTATTTTTACCCAACTATCTAATTTATTATAACTGTCAGATTAATATATTATGATTAAAATATTAATACCCATTAATGAGTAAATATTAAAGTAAAAACTATGCTCGTATATATGCGTGTTTATTTTTTGTGTGTGTCTAGATTCATTAATAGTATATACTTTTATTCTTGTACGGGGATGACTCATGTAGGCAGCAAAAAAAAGAAAAAAGTGTGGCTCGATTATAATAGTAGTGGGAATTGGAAACATATATATATATATACATGCGTGTGTTACTATATCTTACTATTTACAGTTTATAGCTTTTAGCTTTATACATTGACACCTTCAGTTTAAATATTTAATAAAATGAAGAAGTGATCATTATTTAATTACAGAGAAAAAGTAATTACTATATATACATATAGATATTCTCTATATACATATCACCTAAAAAATATTTATATATATGGACGAGCTTTTAATGGTTATGTTTTTATCAGTGGTTATTATTATATATAAAAATTTGATGAAGTAGTGTAATAATAATTTAATTTCATTAATTGTTATAATTTTTTTAGTCAACTATTTAATTTGTTACAACTGTCAGATTAATATTTTATTGTTAAAATAACGATAAGCCCATTAATAGGTAAATAATGGAGTAACAATTAAAACCATGCCCTTATGTGTGTGTATATGTAAATATATATGTATATACGGCTATTTATAGACACCTCTTGAAATAAACTTGGAAGCAGTAAGATATACGTGACTTGAGTACTAATAATGAGAATGTATATAGACGATTTTTTAATGGTTAAGTTCTATTTATTATAGATAGAAATTTTATAATGTGGTATGTTAAAAATTCAATCTTATGAATTGTCATACATTTTCTTTTTCTGTGTGTTATTTATATCTTACTATTTGTAGTATATAGGTTTTAGCTTTATCCATGGAAGACGACGCACCATCAGTTTGAATATTTAATAAAATGAAGAAGTGATCATTATCTAATTACAGAGAAAAACTAATTACTGTATTCTATATGTATACATATAAGCTAGAATACATACATGGACACTATTATATATATATATATATAGGTAACGCCCAAAGGAATTAAATTTATGCTGTCTTTTTATCTATTTTTCGAAATATTTACTTAAACAGTATATATGCAGTTCGTGGAAACTAATGTATTGTTTTGTTTTATTAGCCGTCTTATAATATGTCATTAAAACTGGCAAAGTTAACTCACAATTACAAGGATTGTTTTTTATTTTATTTATTTTGCTTTCGTTTCACAGAAGGTTAAAGCGAAAACAACTTATAATTTGGTCAACATATATTTGTTCTATGACAAAGGATACTTTTTTTCTGAGTGGGGGGCCAATGATGACCAGTATCTTTTTTTTTTTCTTTCCTTTTCTCTTGTCATTACCAGTAAATTAAAAAAAAAAATCAATTTAGTTATAATATAGTGGCCAAATGGCACCGCCTTTTTTTCCTTTGAATACTTTAACATCATTATATACATTCTAACATATATACCAAATAATGATCGTAGTCAGACTTAGAGCATATATAGACATTACATACATATATAAATATATAACTATTAATTAGAGAGACTAGCTTATAATATCTAGAAAAGATATCAAGAACCTTTTGATCACAAATCAATTGTATACAGCTGGTAATATATACAAATGTATTGTACTTTTTCTTACAATACCTTTTAATTTGATAGAATTTTTCTTATAGTACACTACTTCTATATTAATATATAAATGTCGACGCACCAAAAACGCATTCAGTAGCCATATATAGCTTATATATCATATATGCATATATGATAGAATAACAGTATCTTTCTCCACTAACATGAAAACATATTTAGTAGTAGGGTAGTCAATGTATAATCGATCCACAGTCGTATTACTTAATATTTCTACAAATATGCTAATTATATATCTAATAAAAACTACTTAGAAGAAAAATTAGAGGAAAAGTTAAGTTATGGTCTTTAAAATTAATAATAGTGTTAGCATAAAATGAAGCATGAATAATTTTAATTTACTTGACTAAAACCATAACTCAACACACACACACACAAACATATTCAATCGCCTGCCTATATACTGCCCTCTTCATAAAACCCTCATCAGTAACATAATTTCTATTAAAAGCCAAGAGTAATATTAGTAGTGGAGGTAACTACTTAATTCCCAAGTTCAACTTTTTTATATTATTACATAAATTTAACGGCCAGCTCATTCTCTCTATAACTTATTTAATTCCTTAAACATACTCATCGATATTATCGACTCAAACCACAATTTTAACGATTGAAAAAAAAATATATATAGGAATTTTAATTCACTGCTATTAATTTTTTAAGACAATAATATATGTCTCAGAAGTTCTCTAAATATGAAGTAACATTAATCAAACAACTAGTCATGTTCCATTAGCTAGGTTAATTCTCAAGCTGTCCATTGATTATAATCATCAAAGAGATGACATAATAAGCAAGTCCTAAAGCGTTTTAATTAAGAGTTAAGACCCCATTTCAAAAGCTCATTAGAAGAACTTTTTAGACAACTCTAGACATGAAAAGATGCATATAGATATAGGAAAGGAAACCCTAAGCCAAAAAAACACACAGATATATATATATATATATATATAGATATCTACATGTATATATAAACAATGGTGATTGATTAAACAAAAGGCTAATAAAATTAAAGCTAGCAATCAATGAGAAAGGCCCAAAGAAGGGATAGAAGAGAAGAGAGGGCAAAGAGGCGTATTCTTATTAGTTGAGGGAAATGAGGAATCCCGAAGTCCCCCAGCAAAGGTGCAAGAACAAAAGGCAAAGGGCTAAAGGCAAAACCGAAATGATTACTTGAATGAGACTGGGACCCACTTCTATAATCTTTCCTTTCCAAGTCTCTAAATTTTTTTTTTATAAAAAAAGTAGAAAAAAAAAATTATTTTTGACTTGGGATTGGGTCCCACCTCGGCCACCATTGTCTTTATGGATTGAATGATAAAAAGAGCACCTCACGTGGAGTCTGAACCAAAGGGGCTGTCCAACCACAATAAAAAGGAATCCCCAAACCCTCCAATTCACAAAAATTAAAATCCCAGATTTTTTTTTTCCCTCTCCCCCAAAACTTAAAAAGAAATTTAACTTGTAATATTTTTCATTTTGAAAAATAAACCCAAAAAAGAAAATTGAATAAAAGAAAGAAAGGAAAAGCCCAGCACAACAACAACAACAAAGCAAAGCAAAATTTTCTTTTCCTAAAATTTTTTTGCTTTTTAAAGCTCACCCATATAATTCCCACTCATTATCTTTGTTGCTTAAAGCTACCAAGCCTCCCCTTG